TCTCCCAAGAGCAACATAGCGTGCCAGAATGCTAAGAGGGTATGCAAGGTCAGGTCGTGTGCAGGTCATCAGGTACATGAGGCAGCCAACAAGCTCTGGGTACGGGCCACTCGGCTCTACGGACTCATCCGAAGGCAGAGCTGAGAGCGAGTGGCGAGTAGACAGAGGAGTGGCCTGTGGCGATGAGTACATGAAGCCGAAGTGCTGAAGGACCTGCTGCACCATGTGTGACTGAGTCAGGGTAATGGTGCACTGTGCTCTGTGCCGGGTGATCTGCAAGCCAAGGTAGCTGCGCAGTTCACCTAGGTCTGTGCACGTGTGTCTCTTCTGCAGCTCGGACTTCACGTGGGCGAGTCCAGCAGTGTCAGCTGTGGCAAAGACCAAGTCGTCAACGTACACGAGGATGTAGAACGGCGGCAAAGAGGTGTCGGTGCGCAGAAACAGCGACGGGTCGGCAGTAGAAGGAGCAAACCCAAGAGCCGCAAGTGTAGTCCTCAGTGTGTCGTACCACTCACGAGGTGCCTGGCGGAGACCGTAGACTGGCCGCCGGAGGCTCCACTGGGTGCCAGGAGGAAAAGACCCAGTGAAGCCAGGTGGGCGGCGCAGCCAGATCTCCTCGTGCAGGCTGCCCTGTAGGAAAGCAGTGCTGAAGTCAAGAGAGTGAAGCTCGTAGTCGCGCTGAGCGGCTATGTGCAGCAGTACCCGAAGAGTGGTCATCTTCGGGGTGGGAGAGAAGGTCTGAAAGTAGTCAACTCCCTGCCGCTGACTGAAGCCTCGAGCCACGTACCGCGCCTTGAAGACAGGCGGAGAACCCGGCGGCCGCTTCACCCTGAAAATCCACATGCCACTGACGATGTTCGCCCCAGGTGGGGGAACCTCATCAACGAAGGTGCCTGTGGACTTCCAGGAAGCCATCTCTGCGTCCATGGCTGCCTGCCACTGAGAGGAGTAGGGACCCTCTATCGCCTCCGTGTACGAGCGCGGAGTCGGGATGTCTGGTGCATCCGGGTCTCCCTCAGGGGCAAGCAGCATGGACACAAGATGAGGTCTGACGGGTAAACGTGGCCAAGTGTCGGCCCGTCCGAGCACACGTGCAGTGAGTCACTCGCTGACTCGCAGGAGTGAACTGGTCAACCCCTCTATCCTGCAGGTCAGCACCACTCACCAAGTTCGTAGAGAACGAGGGGAGGTAAAGACCTGACAGGAAGCCAGACGGGGCCGCCGGACACGGTAGGACAGTGGAGTAGTTAGCAAGGACAGGACCCCCAGAGGGGTCTGCCAGGGAGACCGCAACCGGCCGACTAAGCGGTGTGAGGGTGGTGCGGTCTCGAAAGAAGGAGCGGGAAGCACCCGAGTCAAGGGTGAAGGTGCGCAAGACCGCAGCAGGCGCAGCACTAGAGAGAGCAGACGCACCAGCACCTGGAGCAGGAGACTCACTAGCACCTAGAGCAGCAGCCTCACCGCCACCGACACCTGGAGTAGGAGACGCACGAGCACCTAGAGCAGCAGCCTCACCAGCACCTAGAGCAGCAGACTGGATACCGGGGTCAGGCGGCACACACAGGTGACAGGCACGCTCAGCACTAGTACACAATGCATACATGGCAGTGAGGATAGTATCATAGTCAAGAGCATAGATATCTACCCTCTGCCTAAGCAGCTCCAGCCAAGAGGGGAGCTCAGCGTCGTCCCCAAACTCTGTACGCCAAGCGTCGCTCAGACGGGCGAAGCAGCGGGACTCTGTGTGACCAGGAGTCCCGCAAGGCTGACCAGTCCGGACACCCGTGCGAATGACGTACGGATAGCGAGCAGTACTCAGTGACCCTCTACCCTGAGCGTACCCCTCGCGAAGCTGCTGGGGCGAAAGGGTCGCGCGCGGACGACGCTGCAGCTGCACCTGGCCACTACAAGAAGCTCCCGAACTACTCACTCCAGGACGACTCCCACGACGGCCACCCCGACAACCCCAACTAGCGTACCACTCACGAAGCTGCTGGGGCGGGAGGGACTCACGCGGACGTCGCTGTAGCTGCAGCTGGCCACCGCCAAGAGTAGCAGTAGCAGTAGTAGCCGCAGTAGCAGCAGTAGCAGTAGTAGCAGCAGTAGCAACAGTAGCAGCAGTAGCAGCAGTAGCAGTAGCAGCAGCGCGGCCACCCCTACAACCCCAGCTAGCGTACCACTCACGAAGCTGTTGGGGCGTGAGGGACTCACGCGGACGACGCTGGAGCTGCATCTGGCCGCGCGAGGAGCAGCAGTAGTAGTAGAAAGAGCAGGAGCAGCAGGAGCAGCAGTAACAGCAGTACGAGCAGGGCAGTGCTCACCAGTGACGAGAAGGACCGGCATACGACGGAGGCGACTGCGGGGCTGCTACAGCGGCAGGGCGGGGCCGCGACGGTCGCTGCTGCAGTGGCGGCTGCTCCAGGGGTCAGGGGCGGCTCCTGCAGTGGCGGCTGCTCCAGTGGCGGCCGCTCCAGGGGCCAGGGGTGGCTGCAGGTGCGGCTGCTCCAGGGGCCAGGGGCGGCTGCTCCAGTGGCGGCCGCTCCAGGGACCAGGGGCGGCTGCAGGTGCGGCTGCTCCAGGGGCCAGGGACGGCTCCTGCAGTGGCGGCTGCTCCAGTGGCGGCCGCTCCAGGGGCCAGGGGCGGCTGCAGGTGCGGCTGTTCCAGGGGCCCGGCGCGGCGCGGGGTAGGGCAGGGCGTTGCGACGGGCAGGGGCGACGTCGCGGGCAGGGGCGACGCGGCGGGCAGGGCGACGCGGCAGGAAGCAGGGCGGGGCCGCGACGGCGACATGGCGGGGCCGCGACTGCGGCCTGACAGGGCCGCGACAGCGGCCTGACGGGGCCGCGACGGCGGCCTGACGGGGCCGCGTCCGCGACATGAAGGGGCCGCGGCCGCGACCTGACGGGGCCGCGACGGCGGCCAGACGGGGTCGCGCGCGGTCTGACAGCGCCGCGACCGCGACCTAACGGGGCCGCGACGGCGGCCTGACGGGGCCGCGACCGCGACCTGAAGGGGCCGCGACGGCGGCCTGACGGGGCCGCGACCGCGACCTGAAGGGGCCGCGACGGCGGCCTGACGGGGCCGCGACCGCGACCTGAAGGGGCCGCGACGGCGGCCTGACGGGGCCGCGACCGCGACCTGAAGGGGCCGCGACGGCGGCCTGACGGGGCCGCGACCGCGACCTGAAGGGGCCGCGACGGCGGCCTGACGGGGCCGCGACGGCGGCCTGACGGGGCCGCGAATGCGACCTGACGGGGTCGCGCGCGGTCTGACGGGCCTGCAGGGGCGGCTCTCGGGCTGACGGGCCTGCAGAGGCGGCTCGAGGGATTGACGGGCCTGCAGAGGGGGCACGAGGGCCTGACGGACCTGCAGGGGCGGCTCGAGGGCCGTACTAGCTTGCAGGGGCGGCGGGCACTGGCCTAGGGCAGTAGGAGGCAGCGCAGGCAGAACGAAGGGCGGGGCGTGCGAGGGCGCACTCGCAGAGAAAGGCGCACGAGGGCGCACGTAAGGTAGGGCGCACGAGGGCGCTCCTAGCGGAATAGTGGGCCCATAGTAGTAAGCGGTCCTAGGTGGCAACCTAGACTCGTGATACCATGTGAGAATAACGAGTAGTGATTGCATTGAGCAGCATGAGGAGTACAAGTACCAAACCCTAGAGTGTTGTACCCCATATAAGCTACCCCACTGCAGCCTACACAGACTATAGCATATAAGTTTGACACCTTTGACTGAGCCGGTTGAGGTCACAGGTGACTCAGGTCCTGCTGGGGGTGGTCCTGCTCGGGGTGCTACTTCTCGGGGTGCTGAGCCTTGGGGTGCGGAGCCTGGGGGTGCTGAGCCTAGGGGTGCGGAGCCTGGGGGTGCTGAGCCTAGGGGTGCGGAGCTTGGGGGTGCTGAGCCTGAGGGTGCGGAGCTTGGGGGTGCCGAGCCTGAGGGTGCGGAGCCTGGAGGTGGTGAGCCTGGGCGTGAGGAGTCTGGGGTTGCTGAGCCTGAGGGTACTGAGTCTGGGGGTGCTGCGCCTGGGGGCACTGAGGCGCCTGGTGAGCTGTCTCCCTGGAGCGGCCGCCTCCGTAGTCGCTCTGCTGGTGCCTCGCCACAGCGCTCTCGTAGTCGTGTCCCGCTCTCCCCACAGCAGCTGCGCGAGTGGTACGTTAGCCGTCACGGTCGCGCTGCTGGAGCTGGGGGCCCTGCTACGGGAGGTGCTGGCGTTGGAGGCCCTGGAGCTGGCGCTGTCCGGCTCTCCCCACAGCAGCTGCGTGATGTTAGAAGGAAATGCTGCCATGAGCAACAAAATGTCTGCGCTGGGATTCGAACTCGTGACCTTCAAATCTGTCCTGAAAGTGTCTCAGGACAGATTCAGGACAGTTTCTGCTCAGGCGCTGGTTATGGTGCACACGAGTTTCGAACTGGAGACCTTTCGATTCAAGTGTCCCGAAAGTGTCTTGTCCGGACAGATTGGGGACAGTTTGGGGACAGATTGGGGACAGTTTGGCGAAATCGATCTCGGGTCGCGTTCGGTTTGAAACTCGGCAGCGAAGTGTCGAGGTCAACGGAATTCGCACGGGAGTTACAGTCGGTGGTCGACGGAATTCTTGTCGCGGAAATTCTCGTCTACGGAATTCCAGTCAATGGAATTCGCTCGCCGAAATTCAAGGCTCCGAATTTCGCGTCAACGAAATTCAACGTGCGACCTGGGTCGATAGTTTCTTGTGTGCTTTTATTTTGTACTGCGTCCTAGTATAAAACCAGAGAGCACAAACCAGAAATCGACCAAGTCATTATCACTGCTATGTTTGTGTGTATCTCTGGCTATAGTGGACCGTTTCATGCAATCTTTGGTGCGTTGGAATCGTGCTTCTGAGCTCTATCAAGCTGCTATAGTAGTGGAATTCTAAATTGTATCAGAGCTGCGTTATCTGCGTCGATCCAACTAGCGGCTTGATTCCGTCCTCCCATCACTTTGTTCCCACGTTGGTGTGGCTGACGCTCGTTTTGACTGCGCATGGAGTGGTTAACGAGCGCCGAGGGCCTGAATGCCCGTCAGGAGCTGGAGGCGTCCGTTCGTGAGCACCACCCTAGCTTGCGTGATGAGGAGGTCGACCTCATTGTGGACGGTCGTCTACTACGCATGGTTCGGGAGCGCGCGGCGGAGCAAGCACCTGCGAGCGGCCAACAAGGAGGAATCGGTGAAGGAGGAGCTGAGCACGAGGCTCTTGGTGCCGTGGGCATTGATGGAGGAGCTGTTGCACCGACCATTGACACGGGAATGATCGGGGCGAGCTACGGCCAATTCAAGTTTGGAGTAGAGCACATCTCCGTATCGCCGCTGCTGGAGGGAAGGCACGATCTTACCGTGTGGGTCAGCGCCATCCGACCTCAGCTCCAGTGTGCTGATTTGTGGCAGTTTTGCAACGGGACAGCACCAAGCCCGGCCCCAAACAACCTCTTGCAACGAAGGGAGTACGCAAAGGTCCAAATGCTTGCATTCATGGTGCTGAACCGATGTGTTTCTCCACCCATCCGAATGTCCATCTCTGGTTTCTCTCAGCAAGAGAAAGCCGGGCAGCTAGCATGGGCATATATCTTGTCTACTTATCAAGTTCGTGATGCCCTCCACGCTTCCCTACTTCAGACCCAGTTAGCCCAACTCAGGAAGGGAGACGATGAGACAGCGGAATCCTACTGCAATAGGGCCCGCACCATCCGAGCGGAGCTGCTGACCATTGGACAGGAGGTCCACATGGCCACGTTTGCCGCCCACGTGCTCAAGGGCCTACCATCGGAGTACGGATTTCTTCGCCGCAAGCTCGAAATTTCCAGTCCTGACATGACGGTGGAACGCGTGTGCAGCGAGGTGTTGATGGAGGAGCAGACTCTCTCCATCGAACAGAGTTACAAGCAGATCACCAGCGATGCATCAGCTTTCTCGGGCGCTGGCAACACCATCGTGGCTACAACGGGGGTCAACGGGAAGGAAGGAAAAGGGGGAAGGGAGCAGACGGACAAGAAGAAGGATGGCAAGCGGGAGAAGAAGCGAGCCCCCTTCAAGGGGCGCTGCTACAACTGCAATGAGGAGGGGCACATGGCTGCCAAGTGCCCCAACAAGAAGAAAGATACAACGCCCGCGGCAGCCGCGAACGTAGCTGAAGGAGACGGGAAGGGCGTGGCGCTCACCGTCGCGTGTTCGGCTGCAAAGTTGCTGGCCGACGACAAGGACTTGTGGTTCCTTGACTCAAGATGCTCTCAACACATGACCGGCCGCAAGGAGTGGTTCACGGTGATCCGTGACCCATCTGCAACGAAATCAGTCAAAGGGTTTGATGGTTCTATGCAGGAAGTTGCCGGTGTTGGTGAGGTTTTGCTGGAGGGCACTAACGGCTTGCGTGTGACCCTACATGATGTCCTCTTTGTGCCAGGAATGAAGGCCAACTTGGTCTCCCCTGGGCAGCTCTTGGACAAGGGAGCAAAGCTGCAAACCGAGGAAGGTGTCACTCGCATCATCGCATCAGGAGGTCAAGTGGCTGCAACGGCACGATACCGCCATCACCTTCACTGCCTTGACATGAAACCGGGGCCAGCAAGGAACGGTGCGATGGCTGCAGCGGCATGCAACGGCACGGCGGCTGTAGCGGCATGCAACGGCACGGCGGCTGCAGCGGCATGCACCAATATGGCGGGTGGAGCGGCGAGCAACAGCACAGCGGCTGCAGCGACATGCAACGGCACGGAGGCTGCAGCGGCATGCAACGGCAGGGCGGCTGCGACGGCATGCAACGGCAGGGCGGCTGCGGCGGCATGCAACGGCACGGTGGCTGCAGCAATATGCAACAATACGGCGGCATGCAATGGCATGGCGGCTGAGGTGGCATGCAACGGTATGCCTAAGGCATTTGCTGAGGTGGTGTCAAACTACGTCGGAAGAGAATGACGAAGCGGCCAGCCTCACAACATATGCGGTGGGGACCGAGGCGATGCTCAACCTGCGGCACACTCACCTTGAGAATGACCATGCTGGTGCGGTGCAGTGGACAGCCACAAACAGTGGCATGCTGGGCATGGACCTAGAGAAAGGAGGGGAGGACACGTCGAGCGCCTCCTCCCAAGAAGCCAAACTCACTCGTCAAACGCTTCCGCTGCCTGACGAGCGAGAGGGGGAGGTTCTTGGGATGGTCCATGGCCCTGGGCAGAATCAACCGCCGTCACGTACTGTCATCATAATCACAGTGCCGTCCGTGCAAGGGGGCGAACAACCGTTTGATCGTTCGGTTGACCCTGCGGGCAGCAACGCAACCATGGCTCCACCAGCTCTCTGTCCATCCTTAGCTGCTGGCTTGGCACCTGTGGGACCAGATGTTGGTCCCTCTGCGGATGAACGTCGTGCAGCTGATGAAGACAAGGAAGGAGAGGCAACGGACCTGAAATCGGCGGCAACCCATGGGAAGGACCCCATACCTACGGTTCCGCCCCTCCAGCCCACTCCCCCACCCCCATGTCATTCTAGCAGGTCCAACAAGGGTATGCCACCTGTACGGTTTCCCACATCAACCATGACGGCCTCGGATGCGGATGATGGCAACAACATGTACGACATGGCATTCCTTGCTGGAGGTGTTTATGGCACGGACATCTACTATGATGTGGAGTACTTGGATGAGGCTGATGAGGAGGAAGGGGGATTGGGGAGCGTCATCATCAACCTCGGAGTAACCTTGACCGGACCTGAAGGCAAGGTGGTGGACAAAGGTCTCCTCGTGGTGGAATACATGTCGTCCACGGAAGGCTATCTTGGTCTGCAGATTGTGCGCGACCGCCCCAACAAGACACTCCTCCTGCACGAGAATGCATATGTGGCGAAGGTGCAGGAGCGGTTCTTCAAGGGGGCGCCACTGAAGAAGCAGCCGATCACCCCTCTCTCCTCTACCAGCTTTGTCATGGAGGATGCTGAGCTGTTTGCCGATCGCACCATGACCGACCGCCTTGCAGCAGGTGCACACCTCAGGACGGATGCGCATTGTCATAAGCCCTTCCGCACACACTCCTACAAGGCTGCCTCAACGGACAAGGGGCTGCTGTTCAAGGGAGGACCAAAGAGTTTGACTCTTGTGGGGTATGCGGATGCGGATGATGCAGGCCACAAGGAGAATCGGTCGTCCACGGGAGGCTACCTCTTCAAGCTTGGCGGAGCTGCCGTTTCATGGCAGGCCAAGAAGCTACAGGGTGCAACCAAACTTTCCTCCACCGAGAGCGAGCTTGTGGCTGCGGTGGAAGCGGGAAAGGAGGGGCGCAAGCTAAGGTTCCTGCTGTGGGAGTTTCAACTGCTCAAGAAGGGTGTCCCCACCACCCTGTACGTCGACAACATGTCAGCGGTGCAGCTCACCCAGGCGGGCAGGCTGCAGGGGCGCATGAAGCATCTGGACCGTCGCCACATGTGGCTACAGGACATGGTGCGCATGAAGAAGTTGGAGGTGCAGCACATCCCTACAACGGCGCAGCCCGCAGACTTCTTCACGAAGCGGCTCGACAAGGCAGCCTTCAACCGATGCTGTGCAGCAGCCAGGCTGGTCCAGCGTGCTCCTGACAGCAAGGGGGCGTATTAGAAGGAAATGCTGCCATGAGCAACAAAATGTCTGCGCTGGGATTCGAACTCGTGACCTTCAAATCTGTCCTGAAAGTGTCTCAGGACAGATTCAGGACAGTTTCTTCTCAGGCGCTGGTTATGGTGCACATGAGTTTCGAACTGGAGACCTTTCGATTCAAGTGTCCCGAAAGTGTCTTGTCCGGACAGATTGGGGACAGTTTGGGGACAGATTGGGGACAGTTTGGCGAAATCGATCTCGGGTCGCGTTCGGATTGAAACTCGGCAGCGAAGTGTCGAGGTCAACGGAATTCGCACGGGAGTTACAGTCGGTGGTCGACGGAATTCTTGTCGCGGAAATTCTCGTCTACGGAATTCCAGTCAATGGAATTCGCTCGGCGAAATTCAAGGCTCCGAATTTCGCGTCGACGAAATTCAACGTGCGACCCGGGTCGACACTTTTTGGTGTGCTTTTATTTTGTATTGCGTCCTAGTATAAAACCAGAGAGCACAAACCAGAAATCAACCAAGTCATTATCACTGCTATGTTTGTGTGTATCTCTGGCTATAGTGGACCGTTTCCTGCAATCTTTGGTGCGTTGGAATCGTGCTTCTGAGCTCTATCAAGCTGCTATAGTAGTGGAATTCTACACGTGAGTGGTACGTTAGCCGTCAGGGTCGCGCTGATGGAGCTGGGGGCCCTACTGCGGGAGGCGCTGGTGCAGGTGACTCTGCTACTGGAGGTGTTTCTACTAGAGTTCCTAGAGCCGCTGGTCCCGGAGGTGCTCGTACTGGAGGTACTGGAGCTGCTGGGGCTGGTGGTACTGCTGGACCTGGAGGTGCTGCTGTAGACTCTTAGGTTGGAGACCCTGGAGCTGGAGGTGCGGGTTCTGGGGGTGCTGCTGTTAGAGACCCTGAGGCTGGAGACCCTGGGACTGGAGGTGCCGGTTCTTGGGGTGCTGCTGCTGGAGGTGGTGGTCCTGGAGGTGCTGTTGCTAGAGGTTCTGGCGCTGCTGGAGGTGCTGGTACTGGAGGTGCTGGCGCTGGAGGTTCTGGAGCTGGTGGAGGTGCTAGCGCTGGAGGCGCTAGAGCTGGAGGTTCTGGAGCTGCTGGAGGTGCTGGAGCTACTGGTGCTGGTGGCCCTGCGCAGCCGCGACTGTTCTTCGCTCTGCCGTCGCCTTCGTCCCTGCCACCGCCTGACTCCGTGCTTCGCCGGGTTCTTAGCCTCCCGTCTTCTACTAGTCTTCCGTTACAGCCTGGCTCACCGCTGCCTGCTCCTTCTCCTTAGACTGAGCAGACAGGGGGTCTTACTGAGTGTCGTGAGCCTGCGTCTCGTCCTTTCTCGCCTGTTTGCACTGTCCGCACTGGTCGTACTGGTCGTCGTGTTCCTCATGAGCGTCCGCCGGCTGTCCCCGGCACACACCTCATGGCTCTGCGTCCTTCCTCTGCTGCGCAGTGTGTTCCCCTGTCGTCCCCTCCTGCGTCCTCTCTGCCTGATGTTCCAGACCCTAAGTCTGACAGCGCTCGTGCTGCTCACCCTACTGTCACGCGTCTGCTAGCCACTGTTGTCACTAACCCGTCGTTTGAGTCTGCTGCTGTGTCTGCCTTAGTCGTTGAGCTTGTTGACTTTGCTGCTGCCTATCGTCTAGACTACGCCGCTAGTCTTGTTGCTGAGTCTGAGTCTGTCTGTCCTCCGTCCATCGGGGGTGAGTGTGCACTTGGCACAGACGTCCTTGAGGACAGGCAGGAGGAGTTTGAGTGCCTTGCAGCCGCTGCGCCTCATCTTGTGGCCATGCTGCTTGCCCCTGAGGGAGACCCGGATGCTCCAGACATCCCTACCCCGCATTCTTACGCTGAGGCGATCGCGGGTGAGTACTCCTCTCACTGGCAGGCAGCCATGGACGTAGAGATGGCATCGTGGAAGTCCACAGGCACTTGCGTTGACGAGGTTCCCCCTCCTGGGGCGAACATCGTCAGTGGCATGTGGATTTTCAGGGTGAAGCGGCCGCCAGGTTCTCCGCCTGTCTTCAAGGCTCGTTACGTTGCTCGAGGCTTCAGTCAGCGGGAGGGAGTTGCCTTCTTCCAAACCTTCTCCCCCACCCCGAAGATGACCACTCTTCGGGCGTTGCTGCACGTTGCCGCTCAGCGTGACTACGAGCTTCACTCTCTTGGCTTCAGCACAGCCTTCTTACAGGGCGGCCTCCACGAGGAGATCTGGCTGCGCCGCCCACCTGGCTTCACTGGTTCGTTCCCTCCTGCTACCCAGTGGAGCCTCCGGCGGCCAGTCTACGGTCTCCGCCAGGCGCCGCGTGAGTGGCACGACACACTGAGGACGACACTTGCGGCTCCTGGGTTTGCTCCTTCCACTGCTGACCCGTCGCTGTTTCTGCGCACCGACACTTCGTTGCCGCCATTCTACATCCTCGTGTACGTCGACGACTTGGTCTTTGCCATTGCTGACACTGAGGCTCTCGCCTTGGTGAAGTCGGAGCTGCAGAAGAGACACACGTGCACAGACCTGGGTGAGCTGCGCAGTTACGTTGGCTTGCAGATCACCCGGGACAGAGCATGCCACACCATCACACTGACTCAGTCACACATGGTGCAGCAAGTTCTTCAGCGCTTCGGCTTCACCTGGTCCTTGGCACAGGCCACTCCTCTGGCTACAGGTCACTCGCTCCCAGCTCCACCTTCGGACGAGTCCGTAGAGCCGAGTGGTCCTTACCCAGAGCTAGTGGGCTGCCTCATGTACCTGATGACCTGCACTCGTCCTGACCTTGCGTACCCTCTTGGCCTTCTAGCTCGCTACATGGCTCCTGGTAGGCACCGAAAGGTGCACATAGATGCTGTGAAGAGGGTACTGCGCTACTTGTGCTGTACATCGGGCATGGGGCTCGAGCTTGGAGGACGGGCCGACGTTGTCCTCGCTGGGCACTCGGACGCTTCTTGGGTTGACGACCTGGCTACGCAGCGGTCGTCATAGGGTTACACCTTCAGTCTTGGCTCTGGCTCTGTTTCGTGACGGTCTACACGCTCGTCTTCTGTTCTCGGCTCCAGTTGTGAGGCTGAGATCTACGCCACAGCCATGGCTGCACAGGAGTTACGCTGGCTCACCTACCTGCTGACCGACTTGGGAGAGCGGCCTCGTTCTCCTCCATGGCAACAAGGCCGCCATTGCCTTGTGTCACGATCACAGTCTGGAGCACAGAACAAAGCACATCACTCTGCATTACTTCCTTGCTCGAGAGTTGCAGCAGCGTGGTCAGCTTCATCTTGCTTACGTGGCTACTCGGGCCAACACTGCTGATATATTCACCAAGGCACTTCCGCCTGGTGATCATCAGCGCTTTTGTACTTTGTTAGGCCTTGTGCCTACGTTTCCTCACTTGCTATAGACTCTGCTTGTACAGTGATCTATATATATATACACCTGCATGCTTGCTCTTGCTATGTAGAGATCACTGTACTGTTCTTGTTGCATATATACCTCTGCATGTTAACTGGCCTTGTGGCCCTCTGCTTGTGCTTAGTGTGTGTGGTGACGTTGTGATCCGCCCTGAGCTTGCTTTGCTTCTCTTGACTGGTCTTGTGACCCCTTCCTCTCCCCCACTTTGCCTATGGGGGTGTGTCAAATTATATTTATGCTATACATGTCTAGGCTGTAGTGGGGTAGCCAGTATGGGGGACATCCCCTTTTAGGGTTTCAAATTTGTACCAAACTCTTTCCTAGTTCAATCATTCCTGCCTAGCATTCTGACACAGCTCACGATGTTTCTTGCTCCTTGTGCAGGTTGTGTCGGTGATGTAGTTGAAGACTGCATCTGACTCGTGGGGTGCATCTGTGTGGATGCTACTTGGCTGCTTGAAGGACGAAGTTGACGTTGCGTCGTTGTTGGCTGCTGCCGATTCGGGAAGTGTGTGCGAGGGTGTCCTGATGTCTTGCAAAGATGACAAAATGGAGGTACGGGTTTCGGTTGATGCCGATTGTTGTTGTTGTTGTTGTAGCGCCGTTAACTATGGAATGCAAATTCTGGTACTGATGTCTTTCTCTTGTGTCGTTCCTTGTGCAGGTCCATATCTTGTTGTTCGGCGTGGATTTCGGTGCAGAGTGCCGCTTCGGAGATCTTCGCGTGAGCTCAGAGTATAGCGCGGGTGGAGCGCCAGTGAGGACCAAGGCCGGAGATGACGACTGTGACGAAGGCTTCTTCAGATATCGATCCTCCACATCGAAGGAGTTTGTCGCGCAATTCGCGACAGCGGCTGATATACGCCATTCCCTTTTCGCCCGGTTTCATTTCGACTGTTGTCACCTGTGCCATTAATCGACTTTGATTGACGCTGTTTGTTGCTTGATACAGGTTCTTCAAGTGGTTGTACGCGAGGTCGGCGGAGTTGCCATATCCCCGATAAGACCGAATATTCTGCTGCTGGTTTGGAGTTACGTTCCTCAGCAGGATCGTGTAAGCCATCATTGACTGATATGTGTACTGCTGCTTATTGTATTGCATTCCGTGTGTTGGGTATGGCAGGGACCCGTCAAAGAATCCAAGTATCTGCGCGCCTTCTATCATCAGCTCAAACTCGAATGACCAGGTATAAAAATCCTTCCCGTCGAAAGGTGTTGATGTTTGAAGTTTTAGAACGTGCGCGAACTGCGACTGAACTTGAAGTGCGTCCAATGTCTTTTCTTGTCCAGGTGAGGTCTGTTGGCGTGGCATGAAGCTGATAGAGCCGCGCTGGGGCTCGTACGGAGCAAAGGTAGGTTGCTGTTGGTTTCCGCGTGCATAGGATGAACCGTCGAGGCTCATGGGCGTAACGTCGTTGTTGTTGTTGCTGATGTTTGACTGCGCAGGTGCCGCTTGCTGGTGTTGTTCGTAGAAGGACATGAAGGAGAAGAACTTCTCCATCATGCTTGGGTCGAAGCCCGCGGCTTGATTTGCGGGAGTTTCAGTGGACCCAGCTACTGGTCTTGTTGTCGTGCCCTCCTCTGTCTGTAGTGTTGAAATGTAATTGTATACATTATTCTGTAACTGCCTGTAGTGTAGACTTAGTGTAGTTCTATGTTCTTGTGTGGTGGTGCACCCTCATGCTTGCCTATAACTTGTACCAAGTTCTATAGTGCAACCCCTCTTTGCTTTGGCAACCTTCTCGTTATCTCCTTGTTCTACCCTAAATCCTAGCCATGGCTTCTTAGCCTTAGCTATGTTTCTAACATGTTATCAGAGCTCGTTCTATCCTGGCCTGTGGGCCCGTCCTATTCTTCCGCTGCTGTGCCGCGCGCTCGGGGCGCGCGGCGTTTTTTCTTCCCGCCGCGCGCTCGGGGCGCGCAGCGGTTTTCTGCTCGGCGCGTCGCCCCACCTGACCCGCGCCCCGCCCCGCGGGACCCACGCGCTGCCCCACTGGACCCGCGCGACGCCCTGCGGGTCCGGCGCGTCGCCCCCGCTGGACCCGCGCGACGCCCTGCGGGGCTCGCGCCCTGCCCCGCTGGACCCGCACGACGCCCTGCGGGACCCGCGCGTCACCCCCGCTGGACCCACGCGCCGCCCTGCAGGGCTCGCGCGCTGCCCCGCGGGACCCACGCGCCGCCCCTGCTGGACCAGCGCTCCGCCCCTGGGTACCCGCGCGCCGCCCCTCCTGGACCCGCCTGCCGCCCGCGCCCTGCCCGTTGCGAGCGCCCCACTGCCTGCCCGCGCCCTACACGTTACGGCGCCGCCCGCTTTCCCCCTTCCTCCTTCAATTTCCTGCTGCGCGTACAGCCGTGTGGAGGGTATGGGGGTGGCAGGGGTAAGGGGGGGTATGGGGGTGGTGGGAATGCGTGACCAGCTGCCCCTCCTCCTCCTCTCTCTCCCACTGCTGCAGCTACCGCTGAAGGGGGTGGGTGTGTGGGAGCCGAGGGAGTGGCGCTAGGGGGGTGTCATGGGATTGGCGCTAGGGGTGCACCAGGGGGCGTGTGAGAAAGGGGATTGGGACAGTGGGGGGAGGTTGAGCGGAGGTAGCCGTCGTGACGCCAGCAGCGCTTGTAGTCCGGAGCCGGCGAGCTCCAGTAGCCAGTGAGCCCGTTGCACCAGACGCCCGTGGGTCAGTTGCTCTAGCCGCTCGGTGTAGCCGCGGAGTCAGTTACTCCACTAGTCCGGTGCCGTCGTGCTCCGGTGTCCAGTGTGCCTGTTGCTCCAATTGCCCTTGTGCCAGCAGCTTCAGCCGCCGCCTCCTATCTCCTCTTCTCGCATAGTACCTCCTCCTCCTCACTTGCCCTCTCCTTCTGCTGCACTCTGCTTGGTGCACCACTTCCGGGGGTGTTTCTGCACATGGTTTTTCACTGCAGGCAGTTAGGGGGTGTGTTGAAATGTAATTGTATACATTATTCTGTAACTGCATGTAGTGTAGACTTAGTGTAGTTCTATGTTCTTGTGTGGTGGTGCACCCTCATGCTTGCCTATAATTTGTACCAAGTTCTATAGTGCAACCCCTCTTTGCTTTGGCAACCTTCTCGTTATCTCCTTGTTCTACCCTAAATCCTAGCCATGGCTTCTTAGCCTTAGCTATGTTTCTGTCGGAAAATATAAGTTAATATTTTCTATATGTAACTGCCTGTAGGATTGGTTACTGTAGTTATAGCGTTTTCCTATATGGTGGTGAACCTTTCTTGTTTGTTCTTTCCTATTTGTACCCTCGCTCAATATTGAATCACCCTCCTTTGGCTAATCTCTCGACCCCTTCCTCTCGTATCTCTCGTTCTACCCTCAACCCAAGTCCTAAGTCAACTTAGGCTTCTAACATGGTACAGAGCATGCTTCGATCCTAGCCTGTGGTTTCTTTTTCGTAATGGCACCCTCTGTTGCGGCCTGCGTTGTCCCGCTCGTTCGCCCTACCCGTCGCGCGCTTGTTGCTGTAAACGTCGTGACATTCGCGACGAAGGGCGCGGCTGTCGTGGCGACGAGCTGGGTGGCCGTCGTGCTGGCTCCGCCCGTCGTTTGCGGCCACGCTGCCCCGTCGCCGTTTCATCGCACCTCCGTTCCGGCCCCCTGTCCCGGCCGTCGCGCCCGTGCAACTGTCCCCGCCCTCCCTCCCACCGGCCCCGCTACGGCTACCGCGAGCGCTCCTGCTGTGAGGGAATGTCGTGAGGGTGGCGGGCAGTGGAGGAAAAGTGGCGGCGGTGGCGGACAGTGGGGAAGGTGGCGTGACGGGGTGACCGCTGTGAGACGCCAGCAGCGCCTGCCGTCGCCCTTTATCGCCCCATGCGCGACTATCACTGTGGGGGGGAGGGTGCAGGGGTGGCGAGAGTGTACCCGCAGGAACCAGCCGCCGCCCTCCTCTCTCCTCTCTCTCCCTGGAGTGCCTGTCGCTATGGGGGAAGGGGGGGAGTGTGAGGGGGTGGTGAGAGAGATTCTGCCAAGCCAGCAGCCGCCCTTCCTCCTCTCTCTCTCTCACTGTCGCGCGTGCCGCTGTGAGGGGGAGGGTGAGAGAGGGTGGCGGAAGTCAGCCAGGCATCTGCTGCTGCCGCCCGCTGCTACCGTGGCACCTCCAGCTGCTGCCCCTGCCGCCACCTGCCCTTCCTTCTGCTGCCTGCTGCTGGGGCCTGCAGGTGCTGCCGTCGAGCCGCTGCTGTCCTGCTACACGTTGCAGCCACAGAGCCTGCTCCTCAGGCGACCTGCCGCCCCTACACCTGCTACTGTTTCCGCCTTGGCCGAGGGTCTGGTACAGCTGGATCTGCCACCACTGAAGTGGTTGCCACTGCACTTGCTTGTTGCTGCAATTTCCGCTGCGCAATCGTGGTGTACCCCTTCTGGGGGCGTTAACTGCATACTCCTCTCCTACAGCCAGTTATGGGGGCGTGTCGGAAAATATAAGTTAATATTTTCTATATGTAACTGCCTGTAGGATTGGTTACTGTAGTTATAGCGTTTTCCTATTTGGTGGTGCACCTTTCTTGTTTGTTCTTTCCTATTTGTACCCTCGCTCAATATTGAATCACCCTCTTTTGGCTAATCTCTCGACCCCTTCCTCTCGTATCTCTCGTTCTACCCTCAACCCAAGTCCTAAGTCAACTTAGGCTTCTAACAGTTTCTAACATGTAGGCCAGAGGCAGGAGGTGGAGTAGGAGTACCGGGAGAGCCGTTAGAGGAGCTTCTCTCTTTCTGCGTTGCCATGCCTTCTGATGTTGTAGGTGCCTTGGAAGTAGTTGAGTTTGCCCTGATAGCTCTCATACCATGTTGGGCTGAGAAAAAGCCCTTAGGATCTTTGCAGGACTAAACTCTGGGTAGGAATGTTGTAGTTGCGGAAGCGTTTAATGAGAAGTATTGAACCACCTTGCGCTGGTATGTGAGGGCAAAGTAGATTGATTAAAACAAGAAGATACAAGGTTTTTACGTATAAGAACAGGGCCCTCGATATCAGGGCAAAACACCCTGATTTCAGGATGGTGCCATGAGTTTGCCCTGCAATTTCAGAATGATGACAAAATTTACCCTGTAACGTCAGGACAACTCTATGTGTTTTGCCCTGAAATTTCAGGAAGTTCATGAAATGTTGCCCTGAAGCGTCAGGATGAATGCCGAGCGATGCCCTGACTCGTAGGAAGGGGAAGAAGAAGGGGTGTTGGGGGAGAAGGGGGGGGGAGGGGAGGAAGGATGCGGGGGTGTGTGTGTGCTGGTTTCCCCCCCCCCCCCCATAGTTTTGAGCAGCCAGATGTGATGAAACCACTGGGCAACCGGCTCCTCTCGTGCCTTCTCCTTCCCCCTAGTTTTTGCCCTGTAAGACCAGGATGAATTCCTGGTGGTGCCCTGAATTTTCAGGATGGCTACGAATTATTGCCATGAAAAATCAGGGCATTTTGAAGAGTTTTTAACAGTTGCCCTGAGGGCTCAGGGTGTCCTAAAACCTAGCACAGGCCCTGTATAAGAATACAAGGAATATGAAAAGATGCAGCTAATAACTGTTTTACTGTTGCTGTTGCGGTTCGATACAGTGACGACTCGGGCAACTGCTCTGTATCAAGTTAGTTGTTTGTCCTTGTTGTCGTGCTGTATTTGTCAAGTCAAAGGTCGCTGACCTCCAGCGGTTACTTCATTTGTCAACCTCCGATAGTTGACTCGCCGATGTTTCGTTTGTGCTTCGCTTCGTTTACGACTTGATGTTTCGACACAGCAGAAGCGCTTAAATCACTTGTTTCCAACAGTAATGGCTGCTCTTAGCGAGGACAGCCCCGAGCACTTCGCGTCAGTTCGGAGGTTCGGCCTACACTTCGGTCCGAACCACTGCCGAGTCGCTCCGCACCAATCGCGACACCTCCAACCCATCCACATCCCGAGGTCCGCGCCTAGCACGTATTCGCCCTATAAATGCTTGTTCTTTTATCACTCAGTAATTCTGTAGTTTGATCCTGTTTATTAAGTCTTCCGCGCGCTCTTTTAGTACAACTCATAACAATAGTAGCCTGGTTGGTAAAGAAATCTGAAACATTGGATGAACCAGAAATTGCACTACATGACAGCCCACCACCACATGCAATACATCATCAACTCTGAGATGCGAAGAAAGCACAAGCAAAGCAGAAACGTCAATTTTCTTTCCTACCCCCTTCTATCCTTGCAGCCCATCTCTTGCCTTCCATTTCCTACCCACCACCACACCTCCCTCTCGGAGGTGTTTTCAAAAAGAACACAAGCACACAGACACACGGAACGGAAGCACTTCCTCAAGTTCGCCACATCACAAGCAACGGGCCTTCTAGAGTTCCCCCCTTCCCCATGCATTAGACCGGGTCATTCGGTTGCCATTCGCCGCATCTCCCTGTGTAGAAGGACCAAGCCACCCTGCCGACCTGCCACCCTCCTCTGCTCCTCCATTGCTCGTCTGCTGGCTGCTTTTCGAATCAAACGCCGGGCGCAGCACTGCTCGCAGCACTGCTGGCAGCGGTGGGCTTGGGGGCTGCGCCCGAGGTGCCCTTTGCTCCCGGCGCCTGCGCCTTCAGGATGGCCGACATGGCAACCGCGGGAACGGCGAGCGTCTTGGGGGCTGCCGCGCCGGAGTTGATCTTACCACCTCTCCCGCCTGATTCTTCGAAACCCCCTTCCCGCCAGCAGCGCCAGGAGCGGCGGGTGTCTTGCGGGCTCCCGCGCCCGAGTTGCGCTTACCAGCTCCCGCCGGCCCAGTTTTCTTCCCGTGGCGGCGGTGGTGCTTCTTAGCCGGCCCAGTTTTCTTCCCGCCGCGGCGGTGGTGCTTCTTCGTGACCTTGTTGGGCGGGACTCCGACCATGGAGCCGATCGAGTTGCGCACGTTCCTCCCCGCCTGCCCGAGAGCTTTCTTCACGCTGCCGCTGAGGTCGTCCGACGTCTGCTTCAAGTCCGCCGCTGCATCCCCCATCGAGAGAAGCACCCGCGGGTCCTCCAAGTCAACGGAGTCGAAGTCAACCGAGTCAACGGAGTCAATCACGGCATCACTGTCGGCCGCCTCGAGGAGCGCGCGCGGCTCGTTTGCAGCAGCGGGAGCAGCGGGGGACTTGGGTGCTGCGCCCGAGGTGTCCTTAGCTCCCGCCTCCTGCTTCTTAGGAGCCCCCGTCGCGCCAGCAGCGGCAGCAGCGGGCTTCTTGGGGGTTGCGCCGGAGTTGAGCTTACCTCCCGCCCCCTGCTTCTTCGGAACCCCCGCAGCGGACGTCTTGGGGGCTGCCGCGCCCGATTTGCGCTTACGAGCTCCCGCGGGCCCAGTTTTCTTCCCGCCGCGGCGCCCAATTTTCTTTCCGCCGCGGCGCCCAGTTTTCTTCCCGCCGCGGCGGTGGTGCTTCTTCGTGCCCTTGTTGGGCGGGACTCCGACCATGGAGCCGATCGAGTTGCGCACGTTCCTCCCCGCCTGCCCGAGAGCTTTCTTCACGCTGCCGCTGAGGTCGTCCGACGTCTGCTTCAAGTCCGCCGCTGCATCCCCCATCGAGAGAAGCACCCGCGGGTCCTCCAAGTCAACCGAGTCAATGGAGCCAAGCGAGGCATCGCTTTCGGCCTCCAGGAGCGCGCGCTGGTCGTATGCTTCTTCCAGCGCCGGCTCACTCGCGCCGTAGTACCCATCCGGCGGAGGCTGCGCCGCGAAAACCGCGAGGAAGTTTAGAGACGCCACGAGGACGAGCGCGAGCAGAAAGCGATGACGAAGCGCGCCCATGATAGAGTTCGATATGGCAGTCTTCTGAGATGGGAAAGAACCGCTGAGGGGGCTGGTACTGAATTTGTTTAGCTGCTGTTACTAGCGGTGAATGAGTTGTTTCCAACTTCCTCCGCGTTAAATACGCTAGCGTGAGTGCCGAGTGCAGACTTTGCTGGAATATTGCGGCTCGACATCAGAGGAGGCGTTTCAGCCCCATGATGCCTCTCGTAGCGCCTCGTTCGATTGCTGGACCTCATGGTACCGACGAATGCGGCGCTTATCGCTATCGCTGAACTGGCCACCACGTTTGCTAATGCTCTGGTGTTTGTGACGCACATCGAAATTATGAAACATGTGATAGTGCTGGTTGGTTTCCTGGCGCGGTTGGGTTCTGTGAGAGGGGAATTGAAAACCAGCGGGTAAGAAAAGTTTTCCAGCGGTCAGGAGTGGTGCAAGGTTTTTATTGTGGGGATCGAATGTAAGGGAAGTGGGGCGATCATAACGTACAAGGACGCGTCACCTCTCTCGATTTTGCACGATCGATCCTGCGCAGGATCGAATGTTTACAGAGTTGAAAACGGTAAAAAAACTATTAAAATGTAACAACAAGACTCGACGATATCGTCGGAAGGGTTGCGTAGTATTGTATTTTTGTATTTAATATGGGAGTAATCAATATGTGTCATCTATTATTTACTTCAAACCATAATACCCAAGTCATCCATATTTTCCCTATTTATTAAATTATAAATGAAGCTTAGGGTACATTCCTGCGGGGACATTTGTGTCACAAAGCGGTTGGATTCGGTACAGAGCGGTACAGTAAATGAAATCGGGATTGTGACACAAATGTCCATGCAGGAATGTACCCTTATACATGGAGGCGTATATTAATTTTGCTTTTGACGGTTCGTACCATTGACGGATTAGTTGCAATTGTAATCTTTTTGGAAAGTACAACAAACTGATTTATGCAAATAGGTAAAACAAACCGATTAATGCAAATATTGTGCAACTTTTACTAGGGTACATGAAACATAATGCATAAAGTTTGAGGAGTTGATATTATGCAATCTTTCTGGAAGCATTCTATTTGTGTTCTTACAGTGCAAAAAAATTATTGAAATGCTAGTGAGATGTAATTAGTGGGACCACCTTCATTGGGACTACACAACTAGTGAGCTATTTTAGGCATGAGTCATTCCTACCTTGAGTCTTGTCAATTCTGCCTTGATCATGTCAATTCTGACTTGATGATGTGTTGTTTGACGTGTCCATTTTTTTTTTGTTGAGTTGGTGAGACAACACAAATCTTGGAAATTGACATTCCAAGAAAGATGTTTTTAGCGTTTGCCCGTCATGCTTAGAACGTGAAAGTTAAATGTTCACACCTGTTGGCTCAAGATTGGAGTTCGAAAAAAAGGAGAAGTTGCAGTTCGAAAAAAACAAAACTCGAAAAAGGTGAGCAGAGTTCGAAAAAAAGGAGAAGCTGTAGTTCGAAAAAAACAAAACTCGAAAAAGGTGAGCAGGATTGATTCCCGAAGCGCATCTCTTCCCTTCCCTTGATTCGAGTCCCTGCTGGTAGTCTCTCTCTTCGAACCCCCCTCGTCAGTCTCCCCCTTCCCAACCGTGTCTCTCTGCTAGTTCGAAGTCTCTGCTAGTTCGAAGTCTCTGCTAGTTGCTAGTTCGAAGTATTACCTTCACAGCAACAATTTCAACTAGTTGCTAGTGACTATCAGTGACTACATTGCTGCTATTCAATCAAAGAAATAGATCGAGAATCTTTCAGGTAAAAAAAATATTTCATTCATTTCCTACTCTCAGAGTAAGCTTTGCTATGGAACTTCCATCTTGAAGATGCAGAATATCGTTTAAGTTGTGCTTTAGCGCTGGCGCCTTTGGCGCCGTGAGCTCTGGCGCCATTTGGCGCTGGCGCAAGGCGCTTTTGGCGCCGTGAGCTCTGGCACCATTTGGCGCTGGCGCAAGGCGCTTTTGGCGCCTTGAGCTCTGGCGCCATTTGGCGCTGACGCAAGGCGCTGTTGGCGCCGTGAGCTCTGGCGCCAATTAGCGCTGGCGTAAGGCGCTTTTGGCGCCGTGAGTTCTGGCGCCATTTGGCGCTGGCGCAAGGCGCTTTTGGCGCCTTGAGCTCTGGCGCCATTTGGCGCTGGCGCAAGGCGCTTTTGGCGCCGTGAGCTCTGGCGCCATTTGGCGTTGGCGCAAGGCGCTTTTGGCGCCTTGAGCTCTGGCGCCGTTTGGCGCTGGCGCATGGCGCCTTTGGTCTGCCTTCTCCTCCCTTCCCGTGCTTCCTTTCACCCTCAACTCTCTCGTAGAGCCTCGCTACTTCAGATTCGCACCTACGATTCTTGAACTTGAAGAACCTTGGTGTGAAGAACTAGTTCCAGCTTTTCTCAGAAGTAGTCATCTTGTGTTTGCATGTCAAGTTTCGGCGGGTTCTACTAAAACTTCACGTGTTCTCCCCTTCGTCATATCCCTTCGCTTGGCCATCGTCCCGTGTTGCAGAGCTTCCCAGAAGTGGTGTGAAGAAATGAGGAATGAATGAACTAGCAAGCAGGTGGGTACAAATAGGAAAACCTAAAAGTGTTGTACCCCATATTGTCAACCCCACTACAGCCTACACAGACTATAGCATATGAGTTTGACACACCCCCATAGGCAAAGTGGGGGAGAACAAGAGGTCACAAGACCAGTCAAGCAAAGCAAAGCAAGCTCAGGGTGGATCACAACGTCACCACACAGTCTGAGCACAAGAGCAAGGCCACAAGGCCAGTTCACATGCAAGATCATATATAAAGGTAAACAAGCAAGTGCAGGTATAGAAAGATCACAGTACAAGCAAGGTCAAGAAGTGAGCAAGTGAGGCCAAGTAGGCACAAGTCCTAGCATCGTACAAAAGCGCTGATGATCACAAGGCTGAAGTGCCTTGGTAAAGATATCAGCAGTGTTGGCCTCAGAGGCCACGTAAGCAAGGCGCAGCTGACCACGCTGCTGTAGCTCACGAGCAAGGAAGTAGCGAAGAGCAATGTGCTTCGTTCTGTGCTCCAGTCTGTGCTCCCGACACAAGGCCAGCATGGCCTTGTTGTCTACGTACAGAACTGGAGGAGAACGAGGCGGCTCTCCTAGGTCAGTCAGCAGGTAGGTGAGCCAGCGTAGCTCCTGTGCAGCCATGGCCCCGGCGTAGATCTCAGCCTCACAGCTGGAGCCGAGAACAGAAGACGAGCGGGTAGACCGCCACAAAACAGAGCCGGAGCCAAGGCTGAAGGTGTAACCCTGTGACGACCGCTGCGTAGCCTGGTCGTCAGCCCAAGAAGCGTCTGCGTGACCTGTGAGGACCACTGGACGTCGCCCTCCAAGCACTAGCCCCATGCCCGACGTACTGCACAAGTAGCGCAACACCCTCTTCGCTGGAGCCATGTGCTCTGGTCGGTGTCTCCCAGGAGCAACATAGCGTGCCAAGATGCTAAGAGGGTATGCTAGGTCAGGTCGTGTGCAGGTCATCAGGTACATGAGGCAGCCAACAAGCTCTGGGTACGGGCCACTCGGCTCTACGGACTCATCCGAAGGCAGAGCTGAGAGCGAGTGGCGAGTAGACAGAGGAGTGCCTGAGGCGAGGAGTACGTGAAGTCGAAGCCCTGAAGGACCTGCTGCACCATGTGTGACTGAGTCAGGGTAATGGTGCGCTGTGCTCTGTCCCGGGTGATCTGCAAGCCAAGGTAGCTGCGCAGTTCACCCATGTCTGTGCACGTGTGTCTCTTCTGCAGCTCGGACTTCACGTGGGCGAGTCCAGCAGTGTCAGCAGTGGCAAAGACCAAGTCGTCGACGTACACGAGGATGTAGAACGGCGGGCAAGGAGGTGTCGGTGCGCAGAAACAGCGACGGGTCAGCAGTAGACGGAGCAAACCCAAGAGCCGCAAGTGTAGTCCTCAGTGTGTCGTGCCACTCACGGGGCGCCTGGCGGAGACCGTAGACTGGCCGCCGGAGGCTCCACTGGGTACCAGGAGGAAACGACCCAGTGAAGCCAGGTGGGCGACGCAGCCAGATCTCCTCGTGCAGGCTGCCCTGCAGGAAAGCTGTGCTGAAGTCAAGAGAGTGAAGCTCGTAGTCGCGCTGAGCGGCTATGTGCAGCAGCACCCGAAGAGTGGTCATCTTCGGGGTGGGAGAGAAGGTCTGAAAGTAGTCAACTCCCTGCCGCTGACTGAAGCCTCGAGCCACGTAACGCGCCTTGAAGACAGGCGGAGAACCCGGCGGCCGCTTCACCTTGAAGATCCACATGCCACTGACGATGTTCGCCCCAGGTGGGGGAACCTCGTCGACGTAGGTGCCTGTGGACTTCCAGGAAGCCATCTCTGCGTCCATGGCTGACTGCCACTGTGAGGAGTAGTGACCCTCGATCGCCTCAGCGTACGATCGAGGAGTCGGGATGTCTGGTGCATCCGGGTCTCCCTCAGGGGCAATTAGCGTGGACACGAGATGAGGCAAAGCAGCAGCAAAACACTGGAACTCCTCCTGCCTGTCCTCAAGGACGTCCGTGCTAAGAGCACACTCACCCCCGACGGACGGAGGACAGACAGACTCAGACTCAGCAACGAGACTAGCGGCGTAGTCTAGACGACAGCGAGCAGCAAAGTCGACAAGCTCAGCAACTAAGGCAGACGCAGCAGTGGACTCAAAAGAAGGGTCAGTGACAACAGTGGCAAGGAGACGCGTGATAGTAGGACTGGCAGCACGAAGAGAGTCAGACTCCGGGTCAGCAAGAACAGGAAGAGAGGACTCTGGAGGAGACGGCAACGGGACACGCAGAGGAGCAGTGGAAGGGCGCAGTGCCATCTGGTGTGTGCCTGGGACTGCAGGAGGACGCGGAGGCGGAGCACGACCACTAGTGCGAGCAGCACGAACAGGCGACGTAGGACGAGACGCAGGCTCACGACGCTCAGCAAGACCGCCAGTAGGACCAGTGTAGGGAGAAGGAGCAGGTAGGGGGGAGGCGGGCTGTAACTGTG